GGTTAGGATTCTTTAAAATTTAATCATGTCAAATATTATTTTCTTTGATCACCTTTTAAGTTCTGTATAATAATTAAAATTAATAGAACTTATCATAGAATAGAATGCACTCTTATTTATCTTCTTATTAATGATCTATTAATTATTTCTAGGCCTTTTAAAAGAAGATATTCATCAGTTTGAGAACTCAAAAGATTTACTTGTTCTACAAATTTGTGCAGAGGTAGGTACCTTATAATTGGACGTGATGTTCCATGTTCCAGCGATGTGATGTCTCAGCTTATTCTTATATTATTATGGAAATCCTGCACTTGCAAGTTTTAAGCGGCAATTTTCAAAAATTCGACAGCAGATTTTCTACTGTCATCACAGCTCCAATGTCAAGAAGAAAAATAACAGGTAATACAGGAATCTTCCTTATCGACTTTACGATAACACTTTTTAAATGTTTATTGTACAACAGATAATGAGAGACTGTCTTCCATTTTCGCGGAAATTGCTTTTAATAAAGTTTGATGTCACAGCCTACTTAGACGTGAATTTAACTGATTTTTCCTTCAAAATCCATGTACGAGGATGATTTATTATTTTTTTATAAATGTTTTTTAACTCTATTTTAGGCACTTTCACTAAATACTTTTGATTCAAACAATTATAATTTACATTAGTTACAAAGTTACCTAGTTTTTTCTTAAATTAAAGCTTCTAAATACAAATTTTTCTAAAACATTTCTTAAAATTATTGACCTACAAATTACTTTAATTTTTTACTTTTTTTAATGATATTTAGTTATTTTAAGATTCTAAATATTTGAAGACTCTTCTACAAACCATATTTAATATTATGTATGCATTAAATCTCATCTACATGTTTTAAAATTAAATATTTTTTTAGGATCGGAGGTAGAGTCTACACTGACATCTTAATTTGTATCCAGCTATTAGGATTGAACTTCCCAAAGTGTGGATTATGTCAGTAACTAATCACAAGACTCCATTCTAAAAGTTTTCAATAAAATTTTTCTCAAGAAAACTTTTTTAATGATATAAAATTGCATGTGAAGTCAAATTTGCTATGTTTATACTCCAAATCGTGTAAGTATTATTAGTTCGTATTATGTAATTTATAATTCATTGTACACTCTTATAAACATATTGTGCTTTCTTAGCTTACAATTAGATATTTTTAACAATATTTATACAAGTTATTTATGAATAAGTTATCAGAAACCATAATTAAAAATCTCAATTTACTAGTTTATTGTACCTTGTACATTTATTAGACTATAAAATATTTCAACAAAAGTATTGTCCGTTACAATATATATTTATCTAAATTAGTCATGAATCCTTGTGAGACTAATAATACCGACTTAACAGAAATTCAAAATACTACATATATTAGTAAATTTTTAACGAAAATAAAATTCGTTTTACAAACTGAAAATAATAGGGGTCCCAATTACTTGTTTAATTCAACCTAAATAAAAAATTTCAAAATTTAATTATCCCAATTATACTTTTTTAAATATTATTATTGTCCATTCAGAAGATAACATTTGACCCAGTGTTATTTAACAAAATATTAGGGGGTTATGATTGACAACCTGTGTTATTTTTAACAGGTCTGTTATATTATAAACACACAGAAATAACAACCTGTTCACAAATAACATGTCTGTTAAAAATAACATTACTTGTCCATCTCATAACCCCGATAGTATGCCTAAAATATTTACCATTCCTTATGCTCATTTTTCATATATCTTAGTTCCATTCCTTATTGCCGCGGTATGAAGTCTAGCGCTGGCCATATAGGGACAAACGCACCGCTTCGAGAAGCTTCCGGAGTATGAGTCATAGAGAGGCAGTTCCTGATCGTTCTAGAAAGCCGAGAGTGTTCTGGTACACAGCTGGCTCTATATAAATAGCGCAAGTTTGTCGACGGACGATAAGATTCAATGTAAGTGTTGGACAGAAAAGATAAATTGTACTAAATAAATTAGAATTGTGAGTTATAGTGCCTAAATATTATATAAATTAATTAGTACGTTATAATAAATTGTAAATAAAGTGTTTTAAATAAATAAACTATAAATAAATTAAACAAACGTCTTACTCTGTTGCCAAGTCGTACAAAAGTTTACTATTACAATTATTTAGTATCAAAAGTAAAACAATTCATTTGTAATTAATGTCCTTGCCCCAACAATATTTAATACTATTATAATTATATTGACGTTGTTTTACCCACAAAGCATCTCTATTCGTAAAAATAATAAAATTAATGGAACAAAATGGCATATTTTTCTTTAAAACTATTATTTTTGTCTTTATTATTCATTTGCACAAGATATGAACTTTCTGTTAACAATAGCAATACCTATGCTTAGTTTTTGTGTAATCGAAATGAGCTCAAACTAGACATTTAGCAAATTTATCGCAATCTGTGCATACAATTATTGGTACAAGTTTTATCTCTTTTTGTTTCTGTGTCTTCTACTTAAACGTCTGATTTTCATGTTTACCATAATCGACTAAAACATAGCTTTTTTTTCTAATTTAACGAATGCAAATGTTAACTTTACCCTTGTGCAATATTCGGCGAAATAATAGATAATAATATGTTCTACTTACGGTTTGTCTTCCATTTTATATATTATTGGCTCTAACAAAGTTTTCACATAAAGCCAAAAAAATCTTCAGTGAAGTTACAACTCGCCACATCCAAATAAACGTGAAGTGAAAACTATACGATGTTGTGTAACATTTTTGTCCGACATATATACCAACATTGTGAAATTAATCGAATCGAACAGTCCATATAAACATCGTAATGCCGGCCCGGCAAACATGATGTAATTTAAAATGTTATTGTTCGCTCAGGTGAAAAAATGTGCTTACAAAGCGCTTGAGAAAAGTATGATTGAAATTACATTAATTTCCACTTAATATATATGCAGTAAAAATGTGCCAATGATTGTAAATATGGCCCTAAACGTTGAACTAAACTGTTTATTATGCAATGTTTGATTGCCGTATTTATATGTACCATAATTTTAATCATCGGCCGACAAGTTTCTTCCATATATCGGTGTTTGCTGGGGGCCCCGGTGCACCGCACCAATTTGCCCGCCTATACTAGCTGCGCGCCTGGAAATATGGTTGTTATCAGATAGTGCTCAGATACTATCGATAGTTTATTACTATCGAAAACTATCAATTGTTTTAAGTAATCATCGATATAGTTTTAACTCGTATATTTTTTTAGTATTTTTCGAGTTCAACATGGAATTTAATTCAAAACACTAGAAATAAAATTAAAGTGATTTTCTTAAATTAAAAGGTGTCGTAGTTGAATGTAATAAGTGTTAACTATAATTTTGATGTTACTTTTTAGTGCATTTCGATACGCACGTGTGGGCGCCAGTGTCAAATATCATCTCGCTATGTGAATTGATTTTGTTGATCGGCTTTCTTCTTCCAGTTTAATATATAGTTCAGAATGATACAATCACGGGGATTCCTTATATGCTCGAAGGGGGATTCCCGGATCCATTAATTCGGTATAACGTGCAACAACGGTGTAACTGTGTTCAGTGGTGTAGCATTGATATAAAGGTATATTTCGCGGCATAAACCAACATAAACATTTATTTTATGATAGAAGTTCATGTTGGTTTATGCCGCGAAAAATATCTTAGTTTCCTTCCTCCACGGTTTCGATAGTATATAGTACCTCTTGAAACTATCGATAGGCCAACTATCGATAGTATCCGACCACTATTATCAGATAGAGATACTACATAAATTGATTTTTTACTCGTCTGTATACAAAAAAGGATAAAGAAAAAACCTTAAATTTTATACATAAACTTTTTAATTCATCATGCGGCGCACAGATTATTATTTTTGGGGCATAGTCGGAACATCTGTGGTGTACTTTTTATTGAAATATATGTTATTCAGGCTTCAAATAAAAGTTGCTTGTAATATTTCTCCATAATTTTTGACCTATACATAATTTTCCTAAAATGGTCCATATTCGAGAAATTTAACAAAAAGTACAAAATTCTATTTGCGCATTCAAATATCCTTCACGTTCACGTACATACGTAAGCTTGCGGGCTCTGGGGGGCTATTTTCAAACTCGAGAGAATTCATTTCTCTCAAGAGAAATGTCATACGTCAACGTAAAACAGTATTTTTAGGGCTCTTAGGGCCAGTGTGAACTCACTGATTGTTTCTCTCGGTTTATTTAGAAATAATTAAAATTCTCCTAGGAATTTTAATCCTCGAGGCCTTTAAAAACAGGGTTTCTACATTGACGTATGACATTTCTGATGAGAATCTTGAGAGAAATGAGTGCTCCCATACTTTGAAAATAGCCCCCTGGAAATGTTGTTTTTAAAGGCATCGAGGATTAAAATTCTTAGGAAGATTTTAATTCTCTCTAAATAAACCGAGAGAAACAGTCAGTGAGTTCACACTGGCCCTAAAAATACGGTTTTACGTTGACGTGACATTTCTCTTGAGAGAAATGAATTCTCTCGAGTTTGAAAATAGCCCCCGTGGCGTATGCACGTAACGCAAATAAAATAACCTTTTTAATTGGGAAAGAAGAAATTCTAATAATTGTCATTATCTGTCATGACACGTAAATGTCACGATGCGTTTAACAACTTCAACTCATTTTGAACTATACCATAAGCCATAAACATTATTTTTGTGCGTTGACGTTCACGTTAACGTACTGGAAACACTTCAACTCTATAATCTTTCGAGTAAGAAGTGTGTAGAAAGAAGTTCATTTATTTAGTTCATCTTCTAATCATTTACAGGGGTGATACAACAGGTTGTACAAAATAACTGGAAAAATCCTATAACTACACAGGAAAGTTACACAGTGCACATTGTTATATAAGTACATTAATGTAAAATGTTCCTAAACCAGGACACGGACCATACCTTTTAAAAACAATAAAACACTTTAAAAATATAATATTAAGTCATTTAATTAAAAAACTTTTAATTATAACCATACGAATTAATAAGAGAAGTGAAAGGTTTTGTCTGCTTGGCAACCTTTTCAGATGCTTGTTTGGTAAGTTTCTTAAGCTTATCACGTTTACGAATAGCCAAAACAGCCTTAACTTTACGTTTGTTCTCCAACGTACGAACGACGGATTGGTATTTCCATCCAACTTCATGTGAAAGACGGCCTACATGGCAGAACTGGAATAAAAATAAAACATTAATAACTTGTACAGACTAAAATGCAGAATTCTTATTTCAGTTAGTACTCATTTAATGGTTTAATTTCACTATTTTTGTCAAATAATGTAGGTAATATAATAATAATCATTGAAAAATGTCTATGATAAAGGAGCAAAAAATATTGTTATCTTCATGCTACACAAATATTCATAAAACATAATAACCATAGCAGATTTAGTCAAGTTGGATCCATTAATACTCAACTCTTTATTACTAACTTCACATCACAAAGTTATAATAATTTTAGCATGGACTGTAGTTAGAATGAAAAGAGAGTGAAATAAGTAGTGATGAGTAATATTTCACAAATTGTTACTTTTTTACTGATATTTGAATAGTCAAAAATATTTTACAGATTTCTCAAAACCACCAACAAGCTATTATTGAAAGTTTGATCATTTATTGAAATATGGTGCTATAGGATAAAAACAAAATTATACCACCTAAATTCACCAAAAAAGTGTGACACAATGTTTGTCTTGATAATTTTACCTTTTATCATACATCTTATCAATATGTGTACAGTTGAATTATTTTTTGAATTATAATTATTAATTTTCCAGCAAATAAGTTTTATATATTAGTTAATAGCAATATAAATTCAGCCCTTGAAAATTTTAGAAAGATTCTTAATAAAATCTATAGCAAGCTTCATTTTTGTAATTTGAGTGAAAAGAAATGTAAGTAGCCTCTAATGATAAGAGTTGTAAATAATTTTAAACAGAATCAATATGAAGTTGGTTTTGTTTAACCAATTAAGTCAGGCATTGTAAAATGCCAGGTAGCCTGTATATCCGACCCACATCCACTAGTCTAAGGAGGAGCATACTCAAGTAGATACATGTAAAGAGCAAATGAAATAGGTACTTTCATTTTTTTTATAAGCAGGACTCTTACTACTGAGATATCTAATATCCAGATTATTAATTTATTTACAAGCCAGAACTAAACTGATCATCTACTATATGTGACTTAAAGTTTCTAAATCAACAGACTCAATTGAAAAATTTGTTTATGGATTTTATTTCAACCTTCAATAATAATCACTACATTTCTACTGCCATTAAAGTTAATTTTTGATAGTTGAAAAATAACTCAAGTAATATTTTGGTTTCATATTCCAAGCATAATTCATTATAAAATATTCTTTACTAAATCACTCTACTGTGAAGAATTTACAGGATACTGTTTTCAAACTCACAAGTTTTTTGTAATTTCATTAAAATTCTCTAAATTTCCATGAACAATCCAAATTTCCTGAATCTACAAAGTGGCCACACTGGAATGTGGGTACATTTCAACAGGCTGTAGGTATACTGAACATTATTGTAGGTCTCTTTACAAGTAATACCAACTGAAATGGATCATAAATAAATTATTACCACTTCTATGAGTATTCAGCACATTATAGTTTTAGGTGTGATCAATATCTAAGCCCTTGAAGCAGGGTTTAAAACAAATATAAACATAAGTAATACTTTTCTATCATTTTCTTTTTTAAGTTTAACCATTCAAAATTGGCAAATATTAATTTAATACCTAAAATCTGTTAATTTTAAAAGGAATATGTAAAATAATTTGCAACAAAAAACATAAATTTAAAGTAAAATATGGCAGTAAGTCAGTAAAAGTTTGTATTAAACATAATTGATACTTACTTTACGTCCTGGTTTCAGGCAAATTACTCTAAGGGCACCTGGAACAACAACACGCTTCCTGCGGTCATATGGAGGAGGAATTCCTTCATATGCCTTTAGCCTACGGAGAGCTTGTTTTCCTCTTTCTGATTTGTGTGGCAACATTCCTAAAATGAAAAAATGTTTAAAATCCCCACTAAAACAGGCATTAAATGAAGAACTTCTTTAAAAATTAATCATAAAATAACACTAGTTTCACTATTAATCAAATAATGTAGGTAAGAAAATTTTATTAATCATTTTAAAGACTTTGGTTAAAAAAAATAGTAAAAAATAGAGATGAGCTACTAACCTCTGACTGTCTTCCAAAAAATTCTGGAAGGAGCCCTAAAATGGAAGGGTCCACGGGCAGGATTTACATTACATCTCTTGCGGAGGAATGACAGAAACTTTAGCTTATTCCTACAAAAATGTAACTATTTAGAACAAGCACATAAATGCATAAAGTAAAACTAACTTGTAAAAATTTCCGGAAATATTCAACTGTTCACATCTTACAACTGTGATTTTATTTCCATGTAACAATGTCTTTGCAACAATTGCAGCTAATCGACCTAATAAATGGCCCCTGCCATCGATGAGGATGGCCTGAAAAAGAAATATGTGTAAACACGTGTAGAAATATTAAATTTTAAATATTAGATAAAAAAGATGATTTTTAAAGAAAATAAAATAGACGAAGTGTTAACAAAAATTAGAAATTATTTTTGATTTACTTTAGAAGGGAGAAACGGTAACAATTCTTATAATTTTTGCTTACTTTTTCACTAAAACCTGTCATGCTTCCACTGAAACCGAAAAAGAACGGCACCGTAGACAGCCGGAAGTACCACTCTAAAATGACAATTGAAACTGCACTACCAATATCGTATGATAAAAGTTACTAAGAAGAAAATTCAAAAATATAAAAGAAATTACCGTGTTTTAAAAAATATAATGGAAACGCTATCTTTAGTTGATAATTCTGTTATTTATTTAATCTATTTTTATTAAAATAATAACCAAATTACTAGTTTATTACAATTTTATATAGGGTTTAATTTGAAATTAAGAAACACAAAAAAATGCCTTCAGGAAATAGTAGTTACCAACCTAATGTTTCGCAGAATTGCCAACATTTATAATCACCGGTAAAAATTAGCATTCTTCTTTAGAATTGGGTTATGTTTTAACATAACGTAAAGTTTTCGTAATATTTTGATTTGGAAAATACATCAAAATGGTAAGTTTTATTGAAACAAAAACGGATTAGCTGTTTTAATCTCTTTAATATTATTTCAGACGATAGGAAAAAATAATAAAATGATCCAGCACATAAACTATAGGGTCCGAATAACATTGCAGGACTCTAGGACGTTTATTGGCACTTTTAAAGCATTTGATAAACATATGAATATGATTCTTGGAGATTGTGAAGAATTTCGTAAAATAAAACCAAAAAATTCAAAAGTTGAAAGAGAAGAAAAGCGAGTGTTAGGGTTTGTTTTATTAAGAGGAGAGAGCATAGTGTCTTTAACTGTAGAAGGCCCTCCTCCACCAGAAGAAGGACTTCCTAGGGTACCTATTCCCGGAGCAGCACCAGGTCCAGGTAATGATAAAATTTCATGTTTTGTAATTTACTAACATTTTTGTGGATCTGTAAAACACAGCACTGACTTTGACATAATCTTTGGAATTATTTTCCACAAGTCTGTTTTAAGGACCCAAACATCTATAAATAAACTATTTCTACCCATTTACTAACTTTTGTGTGTCAAAACAGTACCCCAATTTGTATCTGAAGAATTTGAAGGATGAGTGAAGCTATACAGTACTTAGGCCTTATGAAGCACTTTGTGCATTTTCCTAATGTAAAAGCTGCCATAGATTCGTCTTTAGGCTGGATAAATGCTTTTAGATATCTGCTTTGTCTCATTATTGATTTATTTTTGTTTTTTGACACCACATCAAAACTGTCCATGTTATTACTGCTTTAACATCTCGCCAATATACTATCAGTCATTTGTAAGAACAATCATTAAAATTTGCTTGTGACAGATGTTTAGACTGTAACTTGTATATTATGACAGTTCTCAAGCAATGTACAAGTTTATCAGGCTCATCAAATTTAACAAATGATCTTGCAACTTGCTGTATATCTGATTTTAACCCCTATTTTTTTAAATGAGCACCTGGCGATAGCTAGTGAGCTGTTGGTATGGCCAGGGTTCCTTTTGACTTCCTGCAATCCCAGAATTCAGTCTATCCCTTTATTTCTGGTGATGTGGTTCAAATGAGTTGATTACCCTGTTCATTTTGTTATAGACCACCACTTGTGGCAAATTTTCACTTTTAAATATTTACAAGTTTGTACTCAAAAGACAGAAACTTGGCATTTTAACAGTGTTGAGGTTCAGTTTAAAATAGGAACAAATATAAGTACATTATTGTTTTGTGTCTTTTCAATTATTTAAATAAATTAAAAATATCTTATTTATCAAGAAATATTAATTGAAATTTTAAATATTTCTTTATTCGCTTATCCTGGCTAAGCTTTAAAAAATGTGTATGAAGTTTCTAGAATCTTACAAATGTAAAATATACTTATTAATCAGTTGTAGTGTCTTTATCAAAACAGAAATAATAATAATAATTTAACAAATCTCTTAATAGGGCAGTTCATTATTTCTATCAAATATTTTTAGGTATTGGAAGAGCTGGAGGTAGGGGAATGCCTCCAGGTATGACAGGTGTCCCTGTAGGTCTTCAAGGACCTGTAAGAGGAGTAGGTGGCCCATCTCAACAGGTAATGACGCCTGGAGGTAGGGGACAAGTCTCAGCACCACCACAAATGAACCAAGGTCCACCTAGAATGGGTGGGCCACCACCTGGCATGATGGGTCCACCTCCTGGTATGATGGGAATGCCGCCTCAAATGGGAATGGGACGTGGTGGACCGCCTCCAATGGGTATGAGAGGACCTCCACCTGGTATGATGAGAGGGGGACCACCTGGACCTCCGAGACCCTATTAAATTTAGTTTTTTAGAATAACTGTAATACTGTTCATCAAATTGGGGTTGGTAAGGTTTTCAATATAAATATATCTTGTTGAGTGAATTTTGTTGTCTTCAATATTATAAAAACTTACTTCTATGTTCCTAGAACTCGAAATAATTTATTAAGTTAATGTCAATTATTATATTATGATTTTCGACATTTAATGATGTGAGGAAACACTAAAATATTTTACATATTTTCCTAAATATAGAATAACAAACCCTAAATGTAAGAACAGTAATAATAACAAACAATATGAATATGTTATATAATAAATTAGTTTTTAATGAACAACCCTTGAAGAGATAGTTTTCTACCAATATCACTAAATAATTATTTAAAACTTTGTAATTCTCTTGGGGTTTATAAAAGTTGTCGCAAAATGTTCAGATTAAAAGTGACTGTAGAAACATTTTTAATTCTTATTTAATATTGGTATCTTTTTATTTTTGGATTTTGCAAAAAAAATAAAAGTTTTTGTATTTGAACCTAATTAATTATAACCTTAAATTAATTCCACTTCCAATAATTTTGTTTTGACAGGTTTTAATAGTCAGATTGGATGTACAATCTGTACCAAAACAAGTTAAATCCTTAACAAGTGCACACAAATTGATCAAAATATGTTTCAATTTTTTAATAATACCAAATAGTTTTAATGAAAACATTTTATTAAATTAATTCATTTCGTAAATTGTCCTTGAACACTTTTTGTTGTGAGAAACTTAAAAATACTAAATTTTTCACTATTAAGTAATCACATAGAAATATCATTTACAAAAACATTTTTCCATTTCTTTTAAAAGTAGAGTAAAAGGCATAAAAGCTGCACAAGAAAATGCTGAATAAAAATATATTTTTGAAACATGGCGTTAAATAAAACCTTTTATAAATTGAACTAGAAAGTATTTACTATTACTTTATGAAAAGGAATTTCGCCAAATAATTTGAATTAATCAAAACTAACACAGTATAGTATTTTATAAACCAATTAAATTTGATCTAATGACAATAATTACACTTTGGATGACATTTTATTCCATTCACACCGCACTGACAACCTCCAGAAGTGTCTCCTTTACCCATCGGGCCCCACCTAGGCCCTCTTGTCACCCAACAAATTTCAGTTTTACACATGGAACATCTCAACCAGTCACAACCCCACTTTTTCATCAAAATCACTCTGCAAGTAGGACATTCGATGGCTTCTCCTTTTTGAACCATTTCTTCTAACATTGCTTTGGTTTTTTTGCCATCTTCATCTAGATTTGCGTCGTCTTTGATTTTTTCTTGAAATTGCCTGCAGTTCATTCCGGTGTGGATAGCCTAAGTTTGAAATATTTTAGTATTAATAATTGTTTGTTAATTTTTTATTTATAATTTGCATTTAACTATTGATATAGGTGTAATAGTAAAATTGTAAACAAAAAATGTTTCTAAATCATGTCCATGTTAACCACAGACGCCTCTGAATTAAATCCAAAGGGAACAAAAGTGTGAGATGAGACATGCATGGTTTTTTCCATGCCCCCCTTTAGAAAAAAAATTGTGGATCACTCCATCTCTGTTACTGTTGATCTTACTAGAAAATTATAGTTTTAGATTTAACTATTTAAAACAGGAATTCAAAGATATTTTTAGCTGATTCTAACTATTTTTTTATCAAGCCTTTTAGAAAATTATAGGCTAGGCTAGATGCTAGGATTTACGTTCTTTAGCTGCTTTAAATGGGACAAAAAAGACCCCGAGATAAAAATTCTTACAATCCATGAGCTTTTTATAAAAATCTAAAAAAGGAGTTATTGGCAATGCCCTTGAAAGGTGTTGGAGCTACAAAAAGGCTTCTGATGAGATATATTCTGTGAAATAAGGTAAAGGACTAACATTTACAAAATATTGTTACACTGAATATTCTTTCACACAATGTACACATTTGATTTTAATTATGCAATAAATTTTATTTTCATGAAATTACCTTAAATAGTTTTAGAATGTCAATACGCTTATCAGTAAGTGGTTTTACTTCACATAGTCCCTGAAATTAGTAACCTTTACCTAAATATTAAGAAATATACAACTTTTCCAGGTAAACCTACCTTCTCTGATGAGCAACAGTAGCTGTTATTTACCATTATATCCATACATAAAGCTAATATTAAGCTATAAATAATAGAATACCAAAAGCACCTTCGTACATTTATCCCTCCCCTCTGTTTAACCACCCACCACCTGTGTAAGTACAATCCCGCCCAGAAGGTTCTCTGAGCAAAAAATAGTTTCTGACTTATATCCTGTATTAAAAAAAAATGGTCAAAAGGAAAATATATACATGCATCTAAAAAACAGGTCACTTTAACTGCAGAGGAAAATGTCCATAGTTATATAAATACAGTCCTTAAAGTTGGTTTAATTATGAACGAAGCTTTGGCCAGTTGGGTCCATACTAAGGAAAAAAACATAGTCCCTGATCTAAATGTGTTTTTGACTGTTTTGTTTTGGTTACATACATTTTTAGGGTCAAATAATATTGTTTTTTGGAAACCGATGACACATATCAATGACATATCTTGAATGTTTGTATGTTTGTTGAATGTTTAATAATAATAGTTTTGTTACAAAACCTGTAGAAATCTTTGTTAAGTATCACAAAGTGATTAGTTTTCATATTTTTCCCAGTGTATTAGTAGAGGGCTTATGTCAATGTTGCATTCATTGAGATATGCTTCTTGGGGTAGGGTATTCTATGTTATTTTTTATATTACTAATAAGGGCTTTGCAGATATAAGCCAACTTTTTTCATTCTTTTAAATTTCTTTAGGAAGAACATTTAACAGTAATAAGCATTATTTGATTAACATAATTTTTTTATTTAAAGTAGTTCTTCGAAGTTAATATCTGTTCTATAATTGACATTTAGGGCCATACACATACGCGCCGCCAATGGGGGCGTCTGCCTAGGTCCCCCTGGATTTGTTTGCGATGTGATGGCTTTTACTGTAGCCTGCGGCGTTTTAACCCTGCCTATAAGACTTGTCCCCCCTGAAAATTTTTTAAACAGTGCCCAAGGCCATGCACAGTTTAAAAAATATGTTAATAACTATATGTGACGCCCTTTTTCAAATAATGTCTTCTGTAAAATTATATTTTTACACGTTTTAAAAACAAAACAATAAAATGGGGAAATTTTGTAAAATGGTCAGTAACAATCTTAAAAGTCACGAAATTTTCCAACTAACATTTGTTGGTTACCTTGGATTGGAGTGATTAAAACAAGAGTTACAAAGAAAAATGTTGAGAGTGTCAAATAATAATAAAATGGGCAAAATGTATCATACTGAGCTAAATCAAGGAGGTATTCCACCTCCATCAAAAATAGGTTTGGCAAATAAACCTTTTATGGAGACTGTGTGGTCCTTGAAATAAGCAATTAAGCCTTGGATGGGGAACCAAAACAAAGTTTGTCCGATAATTAATTTACTAAAGTTTAAACTAACTATATACAAATAGTACAGCAATATTATTACATTGTAAAGGTGACCAAACATAAAAAAATAAATACTGGACCCATTTATAAAAGTGTTTGTCTTTGAAAATTATTTTTTCGGCAATAACTTCCAAAGTTGTTGTAATTGTAAATTCAAATTCAATGCTATTGGGTAGTTTTTGGGAATTATTAACCTTGAGATTACAATTCAAAAATTAGTTTTTGGTAAATGTTAAACGCCGTCAATTAAAACAAATACCGAAGATACCTAGGATATGCCCCAGTATGAAATGAGAAATACATACGGTTTTGTAAAAAACTTCCAGACCACCGAACTGGGCTGCAAGAAAGCCATGAATAATTAAATGTGTTTACAACCGAAAAGCATTGAATTTAGTGGTATACGGATGGTTCCAAAACCACAAAAGGAACTAAAATAGGAGTGTATCAGCCTAGAACCAGGTACACTGAAAGTTTGGGTAAATACCCTAGCATCTTTCAAGCGGAAAAACATTTACTCTTACTTGTGTCCCCGAAGACTAAAACAGAGGGTAGTGGTGCCGCGAGATGAGAGAGAGGCCTCTTTCGTGTCTCCTTAGTACCCAAATTGTCCGTCAAATTAGACGTTAACTAAAAATGTAATTAGGGGAAAAGTGGGAGGATTCGGTCAGTCCAAAAATTCTGAATCGTAATCAAATTTCCCTTGACGTTTGACTGTTAACACGTAGCAAATATTTCATTATAATTATTCAAACCAGAAATCATGAAAACTTGTGTATTTTCGTGCCAAAAAGGTAAATATTTCACTTGTTTTACATCAGTTGTATATTTGTTACACTTTCTTATAATCAAACTATAATAATAAGGCACGATTATGCATGCTGTCTGTAGATTTTGTGTTATTTATAAAGCTGCCCGAATGGCTCGTTTTAATTTGACACCGCGATGTTTATTTTATGCACACGGGAGGATTCATTCAGAAAGATAGGGGAGGCTTTGGCTACTAGCCGAATCGTCTCTCGCAATTTTTAAAACATTTAACTGTAATATCAGGCATTTGTGGAAAGCCTATTGTAACCAGAATTCATACTTGCTTGTACAATATGAAAACGTTCGCAAAATCTTTGTTACTGATTTTAATATCTGTTTTAAGAGTCCTGCAACAGACGCTTGTTCAGAATGTATTAGACTGAAAGGTCTAATTTCAATCTCAACTGAGCAAAGGAAGACCAAACCTACGAGTATATGCAGATTGAGAGTGCATAAATTGAAAGCAAAAGCATTTGTTAAAATGCTACAATTTTCGAAAGAGAACGTAATCAAATTAACATTTGATTCACAAAAAAATATGGTTCTTCCCCGGGTTCCCGATCAGGCCGCCTATCATTCTAGGCAGTTGTAACTACACAACTTCACAGTTTGTGAAGGTAATTCGAAAGCCAAACAGACAAAGGATACTATTACTTGTTACACATGGACAGAAAATCTCAGAAGCAAAGGATCTAATGAAATTTCATCGATGTTACATGCTAAAATCATTTCTTTGCGCCTTACAAACGTTACTGTATTGAAACTATATTGCGACGGATGCCCAGGATAAAACAAGAACGTCACTATCATAGGTTAGTATTTTTATTTTTTGGTTTTTCAGTGTAATTGTTGCTGTTTTGCTTATATAGGTAAGCTGATGAATTGGCTATACTTTACCAGATCTACTGTTGATTTACGTCATCTATCTTATCGTAGGTTACTCATATTTATCATCAGACAGAATTTTTGGAAGAATAGAGAAGGTTGTGAAAAAAAAAAAGGAATATAGGGCTATATTTTCCGAGTTTGCGACTGTACTAGACATGGAAAGTGACTTTGATGTTTTTGATTGGAAAAAAGCAGTAGAGACTCATGTGAAACCACCTGGCCAATGGCATTTCCAATTTTCTTCGTCGAAGCGGAATATAATTAAGAAAAAGCTAGTTCATCAGGAAAAAAGTCCTTGTTAGAGGTGAAGCTAATTATCGCGCCGATATGGAAGTGACAAGTCTGTGCTGAAAAAAGGAAAAAGTCTAGTGACTATTATTCCAGAACTATTGCCAAAAAAAGTTCCAATCAATCCATTGAAGTTAAATGATGTAGCTAGATAACCTTTTGAAAAAGCATTTTGGTCCAGATGGAGAAACGTGTGTGGGGTAGATTTAACGTTTTATCAAAGGATTATTGATAATAATGATGATAATCAGCTAGAAGCGCCTGATGAAGATACCACTCTCCTCAACGAGGAAGAAGATGGGCTTCGGATCTGATATTGGATATTCCATTTTTTAATTTTCTCTTTGATTTCAATGATTTTTTGAAATTCAAACTTACATGGATATTAAAGTTTTTTTCTATAACTTAGGTATCCAAAACTCATTTTTATCCACTTCCGACTTATTCAAAATTTTGTAGATCTATCGTACTGTGTCAAAACTGCTTAAATCCATTTGTTTTTTTGAAAATCTGAGCTTATTTCCATGACAATTTTATTTTAATGCATAAAATAAAATAGTGATACACCATGATGATACCAAGATAATTATAAAAAAATTAGTGTACTTATGAAAACGGTGAGAGGTTTTATTCGTTTACTGAAAAAAATGATTGAGTGGATTTTAGAAGTTTTGGAAATGGACTCCTCTAATATAGATAGTTTTGTTTTATTACGTACCTGACAAGTCAAACAGTTCGTCCTCCTACAAACAGGGCATTTAAACTCGTTTACATTATCTTCATAAACGCACCATCCCTTGCAATCCGGAGTCTTGCAGTGAAAAGAATTATCAATCTTGTTTTCAGCTTGTGTTACGGATTTAGCCAAATGCTGCTCGTATATGGTAGCATTAACCAAAGCCTTAATCTCTCTATCTTGCAAACTAATAGTGCAAGCGTAAATTTCATCTCTGTAAGGACATTTAACCTCTGCTTCGTCTGAGAATTCTATCGTTTGCGATAAACAAGGTTTGCAGAATTGATGTAAGCATTCTCTGAGTGTCACACCTTCTTTTGGTTGAATTTCTATGAAACAAACTAAGCAAGTAAATGGTTCAGAGTTTTCTATCAAGTCTGTATTATCTAAATTTAATAACTGATAATAGGTTTGAGCTGAGTTAGAGGACGGTTTATCACTTTTAACTTCCTTAGTTTCTATTTTTGTTCTAACCCTAATCGTAGAGCATACAGCGCAGATATTACTATTTACAGGGTTAAGTAATGTACATAGATGGCATTCCCACTCTTTTATAGGTTTTAAAGTTTTAGATTCGTAATCAGAGAAGTCTTCTTCTTCCTTAGCTTTAGGAGGAACATGGAGACTCGATGAAGACTGGATACTTAGTTTCGGACCTTCAGATTTGATCTGATTTTGGTAAGAATTTTGAATTGTAGGAAATACGTGTTGCACTATTGGTTTTACTTCTAACGTGGGGTCTGGCGGCAGTACATTGGTCTTTGGAGGCGATACATTTGTTTGCTTGAGATCATTTTCGATTGTAATAGGAATAATAACACATTTAGATTCGGAATTTACAATTTTGCTTGAAGTACTTGGTTTATCGTTGGACTGTAGTTCCACTTTTACTGTTTCTATTATAGTCGCAGGTGCCTGAGTAGATTTAATTTCTACTTTTAAAACTTCAATTGGGGCAGATGAGTGTGCAATTTGCTTTATTTCAATTTTTGGTGGCGTTTGTTCCTTTTTTAATTTACTTTCAACTTTCGTTGGGGATTGTTCTTTTTTCGACTTTGTTCCAATAAGTTCCTTCTTAACATTTGTTTTATCTGAATTATCTTCAGAAACTGTTACTGAAATGTTTTGAGGTTTCAATATAACTTCTGTTATTTTTGGTATAACATTAACAATTTTCGGGGTATGATGACTTCCATTTGCGCCAATATTCTTAAATTCTAATCTGTCTTTAAATGGATTTGAAATTTTTGGAGGTTTGTATTCTAACTTATCAGATTCTTTACTCAAAACACTATTTGATGTACCTTCGTTTATTGTAATTTTGGTTTCAGTTATGTTTACTTTATTATTTTCTTTGGATGTTGAAGGGATATCTCTTAAATCAGTGATTGGTTTTTGGCTAGGCTCAGAAGTCTTTTCTAAAAAATAAAATATAAGCGTCATTGGTAATTTTATTTTTATCAAGTGGAAAAATAATATAATTTTTATAATACAGACATCTATTTTATTAAGTTACAATGTATTCGGTGATGCGAGTTAATGGTGTAATCAAAATTAGATGCACTAATTAGTTTTCATTTGACCATTAAGTTGAATGAATCGTTCTATAGTGAAAACCTAGAGTTTGGCAGATAAACAAGTCATTAGTCATTTGAGAATGTGTTTTATTTATAACTTCATTGTGTAAAGATTATCCAAGGATTGGGAAATTGGAAAATACATCATTGAGGAAGGTCGAAATTAAAAAAAAAAGTAAAAATTTTGAGATGTACTAATAATTAATAACACGGGTATGTATGATAAAAATGTATTTGATTTGCCAGTAGACAATGGTGTAAATATCATGAATAATATGTACGAAAAAATAATTAAAATAATAAATTGCGTTTGCTTGCTTCTGTTCAAGAGTCTCGGCAAAACAAATAAGCAATTATTTTCTTGAGCTGACTTAGTCTTATATAACATTGCTGTCTATTGGCTTATTGTGTTTTATTCCATGTAAGTTCATAGTACCCCCTCTGTCACCTTGTACAAGATCTTATCTATGTACTATAGGTTCTCAGGTCAGTCTATGCTTATCCAAAAAGTAAGTATTTGTTTGATTATGTTCTCTTTGATATGGATGCGTGATGGTGGGTGGGGTTTTCCTCACCTGGAAGTCAAATGGCGCCATCAACCATCTTTAAGTCGCCCCGGAACGCCACGACAAATAATAATAATAATAATAGCCGGCCCTTCCCTTACACAAGTTGCTCAGTCGGCTTCAGGGGGTGAATTACGGAGAATATTGTTATTATTAGTATATAATTATTATGTTTGCCTGTTGCACAGCTAAGGCCGCTTTTTGGAAAATATTCCAGTTCCAGTGCCTTCCGAAGTCTTAGCTATGTCCGTATACCAGATTTGATCCTGTTAAAGAACACTGGGTTCCCTCGACTTTCAGTGATAAAGGAGCATCGCTTGTTTATGCGATCTTATCCCTTGTCACTCACTAATCTTGCAAAACTCATGTGATCTAATGTTAAGTAATTTTATAACGATTAATTACTATTTCACTTGTCTGAAAATCGTATAGCTGCTGAAATAGCTATTGGTGTATTATAGTCCAGGGCATTTAGATCAAAATCGATCGGAATAGCGGACATTTTTAGGGACAGCAGATATCGAGATGCGGTTTTCTGCATTTTGTTCAGGAAGGTTCTAGGAAAAAAGGCTATATATATATCGTCTGGTTTAGCCATTTTTTGAAAAATACCTTCTGGGCCGGAAAATGCATTTTTCAATAGCATCATTACTTGCACCATTATAGGAACGACTGGAAAATCGCTCGGAAATCGTTACTCGGAGGATTTTCGGGGCTGCCAAACTCGATTCTGGCATTAGAATTACCCGGGGGTGCACGTAGGTGGCTCTGTGGGGGTGCGCGGGGGGGTGAATAGGGGCGAAATGGCAGCGTGCATGAAAATCGCTCCAAACTCGTTACTCAGAGGTTTTCGGGGATGCCGAATTCAATTATGGCATTGGAATTACCCGGGAACGCTCGGGGGTGGCTCTGCGGGGGTATTCGTGGTGTCATTCTGGGGAGGAAATTGCATAGTCCATGGGAAGCGCTCCAAACTTGTTACTCTGGGGTTTTCGGGGATGTCGAATTCAATTCTGGCATTAGACTTCCCGGGGGCGCTCGGAGGTGGCTCTGTGGGGTTGTCTGGGGGGTGATTGGGGTGGAAATGGTAGCGTCCATGAAAATCGGTACTCGGGGAGTCTTCGGGGATGTCGACTTCAATTCTGGCATTATACTTCCCCGGGGGCACTTGGGTGTGGCTCTGTGGGGTTGTCTGGGGGGGGGGGGGGGAAATGGCAGCATCCATAAAAATCGCTCCAAAATCGTTACTCGGGGGGGTTTTCGGGGATGTCGAATTCAATTATGGCATTGGAATTACCCGGGGACGCTCAGGGGTGGCTCTTCGGGGGTATTCGTGATGTCATTCTGGGGAGGAAATTGCATAGTCCATGGGAAGCGCTCCAAACTCGTTACTCTGGGGTTTTCGGGGATGTCGAATTCAATTCTGGCATTAGAATTACCCGGGGGTATGAATAATAAAAATTTGATTGAATATTAAATAAATATTACACATATTATAAAAACAATTGCTTTGGAAGTCTTTTGTGCCTCGAAACTGGATTTGAAAAAGGCGCCAAAGCTACAAAGAGAGTAGAGTATCGTTATCACGGGGACCGGCGCGAACAGAAATATTCTGTATCGACTGAAGAGAAAAATATGGGTCCAGTTCCCGCGCGCAGTCGGCATCTGTGTGGCATCAGTATTACATCTGCCTTTGAGGACCACGTTGGTTTTTTGTTATATATAAATTCAACATTAATAAAAACTCCTATTTGTGATCTGAATAAAGTAATATTTTCATAATTTGTGATTTTTCACTTTCTTTTTTACCATTTCCCACAGAGGCACCCCCGGAGAAGTCTAATGTCAGAATTGAATTCGGCATCCCCAAAAACCCCCCGAGTAACCATTTTGAAGTGATTTTCATAGACGCTGTCATTTCCCCCCCCCCCCCCCCCCCCCCAATCACCTTCAGACAACCCCACAGAGCCACCCCCGAGTACTCCCGGGAAAATCTAATGCTAGAATTGAATTCGGCATCCCCAAAACCCCCCGAGTAACGAGTTTGGAGCGCTTCCCATGAACTATGAAATTTCCCCCCAGAATGACCCCCCAGATACCCCCGCAGAGCCGCCCCCGAGGATCCCCGGTTAATTCCAATGCAAGAATTGAATTCGGCATCCCCGAAAATCCCCCCGTAACGAGTTAAGAGCGATGTTCATGCACGCTGCCATTTCTCCCCCACAGAGCCACCCCCGTGCACCCCTGGGTAATTCTAATGCCAGAATCGAGTTCGGCAGCCCCAAAAACCCCCCGAGTATGGATTTCCGAGTGATTTTTCCGAGTTTCCAGTCGTTGCATTTTCCGGCCCCGAGCCCAGAAGGCATTTTTCAAAAAATGGCTAAACCAGACGACATAGACTTTTTTCCTGGGACCTTCCTGATGAACACAATATAGAAAACCGTATCTCGATATCTGCTGTCCCTAAAAATTAAATAATATTTACTTACCTGGTGCTACTAAATAGAGGAACACTGGACAACCATCGGTAATAATTCCATGATCTTTCAAACGTACGTTATCATCTGTTACTAGTTCTTTGCCAAGGATCCACCTTTGGTAAGCTACAGGTATTTCAAAATCCTTCTCCACTTGGATTTTCAGTTGTGATAAAGTTTGATCGGGTATTATATCGACAGGAAAGGGTCCTCTGTGAGAAATTTTGTCTTCTACGTACATTTCTATCCTAAAAATAGGCGCATTACAATACATTTACCTTTTTTTATATTTATAAAGTACATTAACCAACGCATATCAATCAAAATAAAGATGAGATTTATATCTATTCTATAGCATTATTTTTCTATACCGTTCTTCTAGAGTCAGTATTGGAAAGTTAACGTTAACAACTATTTTAATAAACAAGTAAAATATAAGTGATATAGCTGAGACTGTAGAGATATCGGAAGAAAGAGTACGAAACATCTTGCACAAAGAAATAGAGATGCGAAAGCTCTGCGCAAGATGAGTGCTGCGACCCTGACAACTCGTAAGAGTCCGAAAATACATCTTTCTTCCGTATTCCATGCATTATTTTTTTATTAGAATGTAGAGGGAGACATCCCCAAAAAAAACCTAGGCCATTGGTTCTAAATCCTAACACGGTTGGCAAAATATACCTATACTCTACCAACTTTTTATACTTACTATACAGTGCTTCTCAAAAGTCCCCTCTCCCCCTCTTTTCTTTTGAATGGCGATACTTAGACTGATGAAATTTGGAGGGTGAAAATGAACTATTGTAAGCTTCTCTACTAGTGGTAAAAGGGGACGTAATAGGCATCGGTGACGTCACCAGGCAACTGATACCAATAATATTAAATGGGACCTTATTTTAACCATCAAAGATATCGTAAATCCAAAAAAATAGTATGATTAAATAGGTATTCTAAATACCTTTCAAACGAGGTGTCACTTGATATAAAGGTCCCATTTAATATTATTGGTTTCAGTTGCCTGGTGACGTCACCGATGCCTATTACGTCACCTGTTACCACTAGTAGAGAAGCTTACAATAGTTCATTTTCACCCTCCAAATTTCATCATTCTAAGTATAACCGTTCACAAGAAAAGAAGGGGGAGGGGACTTTTGAGAAGCACTGTATAAGTATAAACACTCAATTCATTAGTTTTTTAATTTTCTTCCCAAAGAAATGTGCTTTAGTACGGCCCTGAATGTACCCATCCAAAAACGTAAAATTATATCTGAAATTACTATTACTTTTTTCAAATTCAAACCTACATCAATTACTATTTTACGAGACTTAAATTTTTCATCACTTTCCTTATAAATCGACAGTTCAATAGACTTTTAATAAACACACACTCTACAGCTACTTTTAAAAAAAAGTTTTTGGGAATTTATTTTTAGATCGTTAATTTATAGCGAAACCTACTTAATTTCTTGAAAAATTTTCCGGCGCCATTTTAAATTTACGTTCATTGATGCATTGAAAATATTATGTATACTATTTATTGTAAATATAATACATTGTGTTTACAGTGTTTTTTAAAAGGATATAGGTAATATTGATATACTGATTTGTGAAACAAGTTTTGCGCAAAGCGATCCTTTTCACACGAGCTCTTAAGTTTGTGCACGAGCCGTTAAACGGATGCCGCAATTCAACGAGTTGGAAAAGTGTTTTGCGCACAGTTACATACTAAACTTTTTCCACTATTAAAAATAAAATAGTTTTTCGATGCAATAATTTAAATAATTAAAGTGCCTCTAACATTATTTAACTATTTAAAGTCGAAAAGGTGTAATAAATACAGGAAAAAGTGTTTAAGCATGTCAAATGTAGAGAAGATTCTTTTCTAACAGCTTATTCCACGATATGGAAAATAATGACTGAATTTAAAATGTCAAAATTAGAAAAATTTTGGATATTATTTGCTGGAGCCTGGATAGAACAAAATTACAAATCAACTAATCATTAAACATATAAAAAACGATTTATTTTCTTAAGCCACTATAAAGGGTGTCCCATTAAAAATTAAACTGTAAGTGATACAAAATAGACATTTGACAAAATTTCAAGTCTGGAGTCTGGATTTACTGATACACGTTAAAAAAATTTGTTTTCTTCCATCAAAGGGAGACAAGCGATTGCCCACTTGCCTTTTATGCAACAAAGTTTTGAGCAATGACTATGAAACCATCAAAGCTGGAAGATCATCTAAGAAGGTGTCACCCTGATAAAATAGGTAAAGATTTGAAATATTTCCAAACATTAAAGGAAAAATATGAAAAGAGACCCACCGTGCACAGTATGTTCTCTTCAAGGTCTGAAAGCAACGATGATGCCTTGCGGGCATCTTACAATATCTCATTACTTATCGCAAAATCTGGAAAACCGCACACCATTGGAGAACAGTTAATTTTACCTGCTGTTGAAGAGGTTTTAAAAACTGTTCTGCACAAATATTCATTTGACATACTCAAAAGAATCCCTTTGAGTAACAACACTGTACAAAGACGTATTGATGAAGTGAGCTCTGATGTTGAAAGTTTCTTGTATGATTATCTACGAACAACTCATTTTTCTATTCAACTGGACGAGTCAACTTTACTTGGCAATGAAGCATTATTATTGGCATATGTTCGATTTGTTATGGGCGAAAAAATTCATGAAGAGCTACTACTCGCGAAAACTTTGAAGACGGACACTAAAGGTGAATCAATATTTAATGTTTTGAGTGATTTTTTTAAAGCAAAATCGATTCCATTCACAAACGTTATTTCGGTGGCAACATATGGAGCTCCCGCCATGGTTGGGCGATATCGTGGGTTTATAAGCCATCTTATAGAATTATACCAGAGGTAATTGCGATTCACTGTGTTATCCACCGACAACATCTAGTAGCGAAACATTTGAGTGATATATTGCACCAATCGCTTCAATTTGTGATTAATGCAGTTAACAAAATAAGAAGCAATGCATTGAATACGCATTTATTTGCACAATTGTGATATGAAAATAACGAATACTTCCAACGATTGCTGTTACATACCGAAGTACGCTGGTTGTCGAAAGGTGCATGTTTATCAAGATTTTATTTACTTTTTGACTCAGTTTTAGAGTTTTTGGAAAGTAAAGATCCTAATTTAAAAAAAAACTTGATCAATTTTAAATCAGACATCGCGTATTTGACAGATTTGTTCAAAAAATTTAACGACCTCAACTTACAATTACAAGGGGACAGCCTCAATTTAATAAAAACAAACAGTGTAATTTCAGCTTTTCTTGGTAAATTGAAATTTATGAAGGAAAATATTGGTCGGCGCGAATTTTCACAGTTTTCAAACTTGTCGCAGGTAGAATACATTGATGAAGATATTCAGACATACGTTTAACATTTGATTGCCCTGCATGATGATTTTAAATTCAGATTTGAAGATATTCTATGTCGATGGAAATACCACCATGGATCATAAATCCATTTGATGAAACGGAAGTGGAGAATGTGATATTACAAGAGGAGCTACTCGAGCTTAGTACTAATGAGGAGCTGAAAGTGACATTTAAAAGAGGATATCAAAAATTTTGGTTGCAGATAGAAATACCAGAAAAATATCCTGGACTGTGGGGAATTGTGCAAAAGCTTCTGATAGTGTTTCCCTCGTCACATCTCGTAGAAAAAAGTTTTAGTGCCGTTACAAACTTATTAACAAAAAAAAAAGGAGCAGATTGAATATCACAGAAAGGGGAGATTTACGGTTATTCCTTACAAAACTCAAGCCAAATATTGATAATTTTCTGTCAATCCATCAAGTACATCCCTCTCATTAAAATTATATTTTTTTGTAATTACCATTGTAGAAATTACATTACGTTATAAGTGTTTAATTTTAATTATATTACGACGGTTATAACAATAATAATTAATAGTGTAATAATTTATATATTTAAATTTAAATAAATACCTACAACACAAGGAAATATACTATATTTCTTTTTACAACTCCGAATGGGACGTTTTCTAAATAAAATTTGTGAGAATTGATTGGTTCTTGTGCTGCGAGTCACTGTAGATTTCAAAAAAGTCAAGTTGGATGGAGTCACTTTTTCGTTTGGCCAACTTTGCTTTTTTGACATCACAGCACAATCAATTAAAATTTAATTGAAAATTTGTTTAGTCGACTTTATTATCAAATAATTAACCCTATCAAGCAATCAATTCTAACCTTTTTTTTTTTCGAAAACTGTTAATTCGTCGTTAAAACTCAGCCACAATCAAGTTTCCATAGATAGATCTAATCTTCACTTTTTTTTCGAGATTTAGAAATTGGTAGTGATATAGCTCCATCGGATCCAGCAAAATTTTGAAAGTGGTCTATGAAACAAAAGAGTTTGGGAACCTCTGGTTTAGTGCATAGGTATACTAGCGAGTTGAACTTTAGTTTTTAAAATTGCAACCCTAGTTATATTATATCATAACAAAATTACTCATTGATCAACTCTTGATCAGATTGTAATATTAATAAACGCCCCTTGTGGAGTGTTTTTCACAAAAAAGTAAGAAAATTGTATTTAACATTAAATATTCATTAATTTTTTAAGTCGTATACGAGGTTTGTCAAATATGATTTTTGCTGATGCTGAAGATTAAAGTACCTTTATTTTTGATAAACCTCGTATATGACTGATAAAATTTGATATCCGATGGTTGTATTTTAGGTTTTAGACTATGCTCGACTTTTTATGAAGAATAACTTTTTTCCCTAATATTAATAATAAAAGAGTTTTTCAAATTTGGTGTTTTTCTTTTTATCCGTTTTTAAGTTATCTTCAAATTTCTACATTTGCATTTCTTCTGAAATGTCTCGATTTCGGTCCATTTTAGAGAATTTATGTATAGGATAAGAATTAGAATAACATAAAAAACAACTACCAGTTCCATATAAAAAAATACAACTTTATGCTATAACTCGAATTTGAAGAATTTTTTACGCCACTGGATTCTTATCAAAAAAGTGCATGAAGAAGGTATACATTATTTTCCTTCACTTTTATAAATAAGCGAGACAATGACACATAATGAAAATTTGAGAAAACCAACTTTTGTTTATAACTCAAAAACAAAAAAGACAATAGCCAATTCTTCTCAAAAAAAGAGATCGAGGATGGGAGGTCCATTTTTCGATACCATTTATAGTTAACGAAATTCTCTATTAAAACA